TGGAGTATGCTCCCCAGCATGGAGGGGGAGATTTTATTAAATTACTACAGTAAGAAAGCACCAGCCCTTCACTTACATGAGTCCCTGTGCAACACACAGGATGTACACTCACAAAGCCATCCCTCTGCTGGCATTACTTTACATGGGATCCATTCCTATAACTCTCTTAATCAGAGAAACTTTAACACAACACACAGCCCAAAATTAAAAAGGCCCTCAGTAGACTTATATAATTACAGAATGGACTAAAAAAGTAGTAATAAATCTATCAACATTCTATTCACAAATGGGAAATATCAACACAGAAAGATAACTGATCTAATTATAAAGATGGGTCAGTGATGTTTTCAACCACAATACTTGGGCAAAATTATTTTTCTAAGCTCACTCATCCAAGAGAAGTTCTCAGCAGTTACTAACATGTTACAAAGGCCATGCTGTACAGAGTCCAATGACTATTGCAGAAAGAGTGTCAGTGAATGTTTTAAGCAATAACCAGTGTCCACTGAGGGCTGAAGCAGCTTGCATGAGTCAAGATTTAAACTGGATACAAGGAAAAGGAAACAAGCGGTACAGACCAATGTCATTACTATTTCCTTAAGAGACAGGGTAAATGACTAGGAATGTAACAGCTCATTTGGAAGAGTGCTTGCCGAGCCTGCCTGAAGCTCCTGGATCAACCTCCATAACACATAAGACCAGATGTGGCTCACACCTGAAATGCAAGTGGGAGGAAGAGGCAGGAGGATCAGAGTGCAGTGTCTTCCTCAGCTACCTCGTAAGTTCCAGGCCACCATCAGAGAAAGAAAGGAAGAAAGAAAGAAAGAAAGAAAGAAAGAAAGAAAGAAAGAAAGAAAGAAAGAAAGAAAGAAAGAAAGAAAGAAAGAAAGAAAGAAAGAAGGCTAGAGAAAGAGAGAGATAGAGAGCGGGGAAGGAGGAAGAGCCGGAGGAGGAGGGGGAGGAGGAAGAAGAAAAGAAGAAGAAAGAGAAGGAGAAGCAGCAGAGGAGGAAAATGATGATAAAACTGTTACTCAAAGGGGTCTTCTATCCATTGTTAGTATGAAAATGAGATCTGAGCATGGGGCTTTATGTGTTTAAAGAGAGGATGGTGAAGAGAATGAGCCTTCTGTCCAGTGTAATCTCTGAGGGAAGTCCTGGTCAGAAATGACACAGAAACAAAAATGGAGAGTTGTACCTGGGACAGAGGGTCAACAGTGTTTTCTGCTTCAATGGGACTACATGGAAAAGGACAATTTGGACACAGTCGAGGTTACAAGTTCATAGATGGCAAGAAAGTTAGTGGATCCAATCTGGGCCCAGAGCAATAGGCAGCACACACTCTGAGACTGACTCTCACCTGCTTGTTCACTGTGAACCTCCGGTACAGTATTAAGCACGCCACGGTCTCTTCCCAGACAACACTAACCAGGCACTTAATCCCTTGACATGTCTAAGGAGCTGATCTGTTAAGAAGTATAACCACGCCAGGCGGTGGTGGCGCACGCCTTTAATCCCAGCACTCGGGAGGCAGAGCCAGGCGGATCTCTGTGAGTTCGAGGCCAGCCTGGTCTCCAAAGCGAGTTCCAGGAAAGGCGCAAAACTACAGAGAAACCCTGTCTCGAAAAAAACCAAAAAAAAAAAAAAAAAGAAGTATAACCACTTCTACCCCTGCTTAGCACAATGAACTGTTCCCATTGTCTAAGTGAAGTTCTATCCTGCTAGAAATGGTTCTGAGGTGGAGATTCAGAGACTGTAACAGAGAAAAGACAACATGTTGCTTAAGGTTCTGTTGTCAACTTGACACAGCCTAAAGTAACATGCTCTGTAGTGTAGCTGAGTTTTTTTTTCACTCTTTGGGGGCCCACCACACAGCTCCCAAACAAATAAATACATGGAGACTTACTCTTACTTATGAATGTCCAGCCTTAGTTTGGTTTGTTTCTAGCCAGCTTTTCTAACTTAACTTATCCCATTTCTCTTTAACTACATTTTGCCTCTGGGTTTTTTGTCTTTATTTATTCTACATCTCTTTATTTTCTTCTTATTCCATGGCTGGCTGGCCCCTGGAATCTTTCTCTCTGTTTCCTTTTCTCGATCCTGCCCTCCTCTTCCTCCTCCTCCTCCTCCTCTTCTTCTTCTTCTTTTCTTTTCCTCCTCCTCCTCCTTTTTTTTTTGAGATTTCTCCTCCTATTTATTCTCTCAGCCTGCCAGCCCACCTATCCTTTCTCTTGCCTTGCTATTGGCTGTTCAGTTCTTTACTAGACCAATCAGGTATTTTAGGGAGGTAAAGTAATACAGCTGTACAGAGTTAAACAAATGCAACACAAAATAATGCAACACATCTTTGCATCATTAAACACATATTCCACAGCACAAATGAATGTAACGCATCTTATACTGATATTCCACAACACTGTAGTAATGTCTATGAGGAATTATCTTGCTGTGGCATACTTGGGAAGGTTGCCCTGGAAGAAAGCAGGCTGAGCATGAGCCAGAGATCAAGTCAATGGGCAGCATTCTCCCATGGTCTCTGCTTTGGTTCCTGTCTAGTTTCCTGCCTTGAGTTCCAATCATGATTTCCCTCAGTTGATAGGCTGTGATGTAGAAGTGTAAGCTGAAATAACCTTTTCCTCCCCAAGTTGCTTTTGGTCATGGTGTGTCTTAGTGTTCTATTGCTGTGCAGAGAGAGACACCATGACCAAGGCAACTCTTATAAAAGAAAGAAAGTGTTTAATTGGGCGCTTTCTTACAGTTTCAGAGGGTTAAGTCCATTATCATCATGGCTGGGAGCATGGGAGCAGGCAGGCAAGAATGATGCTAGAGAAGTGGCCGAAGCTTTGCATACCGTTCCACAGGCATTAGGCAGAGAAAGGGAAACAGTGGGCCTGGGGTGGGCTTTTGAAACCTCAAAGCCCACCCCACAGTGTCCTAGCTAGTTTTAGGTCAACTTTACACAAGCTAGAGTCATCTGAAAGGAGTCAATTAAGAAAAGGCCTCCATAAGATATAGCTGTAGTGCATTTTCTTAATTAGTGATTGATGGGAGAGAGCCCAGCCCATTGTGGGTGATGCTGTACCCGGAATGGCAGTCCTCGGTTCTCTAAGAAAGCAGGCTGACCAATTCAAGATGAGCAGGCCAGGAGATTCATACAGGCTCAGCAAGCACCCCTCCATGGCCTCTGCATCGGCTCCTGCCTCCAGGTTCCTGCCCTGCTTGAGTTCCTGCCCTGGCTTCTTTCAATGATGGACTACAATGTAGAAGTGTAAGCCAAAAAAACCCTTTCCTTGACAACTTGCTATTTGGTTATGGTGTTTCATCACAGGACTAGAAACCCTAACACACCCATTGACAGACTCCCTCCAATAAGAACATACCTACTCAAGGACACATCCCCTAAGCATCCCTGAAGAGTTCATCAATGGAGAACTAAGCATGCACATATATCCATCCTCCTATGGGAGCCATTTTCATTCAAACCACCAGTTGGTGTTTATCACAGCAACTAAAAAGCAAACTAGAATGAGCAGTTTGGGGAGAATCCTGCATAGCACAAAAGGAAAATTGTTGCGATCTGAGTGGCCTAGTTTCACATTAGCAGATGAATGCTTGTCCAGTGTGTCTCCGTGAGGCAAAGACCGTGGCGATGGTCTCCCACTTGGCAAGAACCTGTGGCCCTCGAGACCGCACAGAATACTGCTGGGACCACATGGCCTGCGTGTTCTCTTCTCTCTCATAATGTTGGTGAATCTCTTGGTGGCTTTTAGTTTCACTTTGTCAGACATGCATGGGACAGATGTAATCATTCCCGGAAAACCCATTTATTTCTCAAATATTTTCCCCTAATTTTTTTGGGGAACTGATGTTTTTTAGGTTTCTTATCTGGAAACACCAGCTGTTACTCCAGACCCTGGGAGCTTTTCTGATTCAGTGCTGACAGGATCAAAGGCAATAAAAGTTAACGGGCACATATGAGGCAGCAACACAAGGGACTTTAACTAAGTGTCCCAACTCTGGGGGAAGAAAAACATTAAGAATGGTGTGGCATGATGGAAAAAGAGTGCCTTAGCAAAGTTAGCCCTTTATAGAGAGGCTTAGGCTTGCAGGACCCTTTTATAGGACAAGGGAACAGTTAGAGAAATACAAGCTATTTGTATGAAATCAACTTATGAAAAATCACCCCTATTTCTGTAAATATATTTTGTTAAGTTTTGAACAATCTGGTTGTTCTTGAGAATGTGTTCCTACATGTTCCTTTGAGCTTTATAAGGACAGGATGTGCCTGGCTCCGTATTTAGCCAAACTAGCAAAATACTGTTAAAAGTTGTTTTAAAAGTTGGGAAACACATGTTTGTTTTTGAAGTATAAAGACAGCTTGAGCTATTTGAGGCTGCCATTTGCATGAAACTTGTCTCTGGTGGTCAGACTTTTCTTCCTGCCCACACTCTCAGTCCTGTCCCAGGACCTGACACTGGCTGAGGCAGGACCTCAACAGAAAATGAAGTGGAGAGCTGAGCTAAGGACCCACCTTAGCAGAAAGCCTGCGTATACTGCAGCCATTCATATTCAATTCCCCCAATCCCTGCCCACTTTTCACTGAAAGTCACAGAGGGTCCAAGGTAGAGAGCTGGGCTGGTCCAGCTGGGAATCAAGATGGGAAAGAATGAGTAGAGAGAATTTAGAATCAGAACAGAGACTGAGGAGAGAGACAAGGATTCTGGGTTAGATGTATTAACCAGGGGCTCGCCTAGAAAACAAGCAGGTGACCTGTGTGGCTTTGGAGCACATGGGATAGTATATAGGGAATTTCAGCAGCCTGAGGTTTTGTAGACAGCCAGGAGCTGTGCCTCAGCCTCCTAGGCACTGGATTTAGGGAAAGGGCGGGGCTCAAGCTGAGAAAACAAAGAGAATTGTGATGGTAAGGTAGGTCAGGACTTGAGGGACATGAGTGGCCCCATCTTTAGGCAGTAGGTGCCTTGGGCACCCTAGGGCTCTGCAGCATGTGCCTGGAGCGTATAAGGGACGAGGAGCCTGCCCAAGTCTACCCAGTGAGTCCTCTGAGGTCTTTAACTCTCCCAACCAACCTTGTCCTAGGCTTGCACTCCAGGCAGTCAGCTGCAGCCATCCAAGGTTCCAGCTTGAAGACAGACTGGGATTTAGAAATCTTGAGTGAACAGACTAGATCCTAGGCTGCTGGGAAGACACCCAAGGAGGAAAAAGTACCACAGTACTTACTTGGGTTGGGCCTGATCTATCAACTTCGTTGACTGACACACTGGCCCGCACTAGAGGGTAAGGGTTGGGGGCTGCAGAAATGAGGAGCATGGGGTACTGTAAAGCTCTCAATATTGAGATGTGGAGTGGAGATTTACCTTTAAGGTTTAAGGTTATAGTTGGATTAAAGTTGGGAAGAGAAGTGTTGAAAAGACACTTTGTGAGTGGGAGAGGTGGGAGGCTCATGAAGAACACCCACTGCTCCCTGGGCCCCCATGACTGCGATTGCTCCAGTTTCCTGGACTGGAGCACCAGATTAAAAAGTAGAACTGCTCTTCCATGGACACCTGGTGGCAGCTCAGAATTCACATGCCAATGAAATTATGACGCTTTTTGGGTTTTTCACATCTTTTCCTTCCTGAAAGGAACCCAGCACTCAGCCTGCTCCCTGTAACGTGGCTCATAGCAGGCTCTCAATCCTCTTTCAATTATGCTTGATTGCTCTGTCTTTCCTGCTCTTGCCCACAATATCTATAACACAAATTTTAAAGAGATGGGTCTCTTTTCTGCTTTATCTTGACTTTGTGTGTATTTTTACATATTATGTAGGAAGGACCACGAAGGCACCATCCTTCAGAGGTTTCTGCCAGGCAGGTAAGTTTTGTTTCAGCTGTTTTTAACTTATGCCTGCATGTATGGTGTGATCATTAATTAGACACCTCTTCAATGCATCCCTCAGACCCTTGGGTTCCTGTGGCTACTATAAAAGGTCTTGAATAGGTTGCATCTATTATGTGTGTATATATATCGTGCAGCAGACATAAAATAGAGTAATAAAACAGATCTTACACTTAAGAATTTGAAACATTGTGAGTGTCCCCAAATCTACCCAGAAACTACCTCCCTGTTTTTGCTCTTTGCTTCTCCTAAACACATAAGCATAATTTCAAATGTCTTTTCCAGCCACTTTCTTTTAATATGTTTCTGTGTGTGCCTCTTTAAGTGCATTGGTGACATTTGCTTGGCTTTGAAAGCGTCATAATTTCATTGGCATGTGAATTCTGAGCTGCCACCAGGTGTCCATGGAAGAGCAGTTCTACTTTTTAATCTGGTGCTCCAGTCCAGGAAACTGGAGCAATCGCAGTCATGGGGGCCCAGGGAGCAGTGGGTGTTCTTCATTTAATTTTATAAATGTGAGAGTCACAAAGCTCAATAGCGGTTCCTTAGTGAATGCTGTGTCTAACTGTAGTTACTTCATTTTCATTGCTGCTTAATGTTTCATTGTGAAACAAACCCCACTTCATTATTCCCTTTTCTTGTTTGTGACATTGGGTTGGTTCAACATTGATCTACAATGAACAGGGCTACTGTGAGCATTTGCGTACAGGTCTCCCCCGACCCACAAGAGGATCTTCTGATTCCTTCCACAGTTTGGATCATGGGGAAACAGGCTTCACTGGTTTGAAGGTCTGTCTCTGTGTACAGAGCATCACACTGACTCTCCCAACAGCAGTTCTCTCTACAGTGCATGTCATCTCTTCCAAGCATTCAGTTTTCATTTTTTGGTCCTATGGTACTCACAGATGCCACACAATGGTGACATAAAAGACTGAATTTGGGATCCAGAATAAAAAGTAGACCCACTTTTCCATGGACATGGGGTGTGTGAAATGAAACATGTAATAAGACTATCCATTTGAACATTTTAATGAAATTATTTTTAAAATAAAATTGAAAATGCATGACTATGAATCTGGGTTTATAGAAACATGTTTTAATTATTTAATGTTAATTTATTAATGTGGGAATCAAGAGTAAACAAGGCCCTCTGGCAGCCCTCCTGATGCTACAGCGTGGGTCAATTTGAAAATAGTTTTGAGTTTTGTTTGTGATTTTTCCCTACCTCTATTAGCTAAGTAGATTGCGTATTGCTCTCATCCTTTGAATTGACACAAACCAAAAATGAAACACATGTTAGCTTCATATGTTCTGAAAGGTTCTATTTGTTTTTTGGTTTTGTTTTTCAATTTTCCCCAAGTCTTTGAATAAACGTATCCACTACATGCAAAACCTAAGAAAAGAGAAGAAGAAATTGGGAAAGAGGTTTGCAAGGCCTAACCCTGTTCCAGATCCAGGAATCCTGGTAAGTGTGGAGCTCTCACAGAGATGCACGGTCCTCACATGCTGTTGGCATCCTCCTTTTTAATGCATCTGATCATTCTTTAATTTTCTCTGGAAGAATTTGTAATGCCACTTTGGGGAGACCCTTAATATTCCTCTCACCAATTCTCATTGTTTAAGTCTACTCAGCAACTGTCTCCTGATGAGAACATGGAGTTTGATCTCTGAAGCCATATTGTCTGTTTGTTGTTTTGTCTGAGCTGATTTGTTTAAATCTTAGGGTTCTAATATTTTAAAATGAGTTACAAAATCTCCTAAACAATAATTTATTTTGCCTAGAATGAACACCTGAAATGTTAGAAAATTCTCTACACTGATTGCAACTTACTATATATATATATATATATATATATATATATATATATATATATATATATATATACTCTTTTATGTGTGTATGTCTGTGTGAGTAGATGCCATGTGTGTCCAGGTCCCCACAGAGGCCAGAAGAAGCTGTCATGTCCCTTTAAGTAACAAGTGATTGTGAGCCACCTAACAGGGGTACCGGGAATCTAAGAGCTAGAGCTGTTAACTCTGAGCTACCTCCGGCCCCTGGTATATGTTTATTAGGATTTAAGTGCTTTCAGAATGCAGCCTATCATACAAGAATCTCTTAAAGTGGCTCAGAAGAGGCCCGATGGCTTTCCCACTGACAATCACTTGGGCATCTGAGGACAGGTGTCATTCTCTTACAATGTCAAACTTTTTGTCCAGTTGAAAATCCAGTGTTTTAAAATCTATTTTGCTTACTGTTGACTGGTGAGCTCTGGCTGTCTTCAAGCAATAGTTACATTCCATTCATAAATTTTTAGCTATTTTATCAGTTTCATGCACTTCACATACAGTATAATGTTCTCTGCATTCTATCTAGCGGGTCCATTCTTCCCTCAAAACTCAGGCGATCACTGATCTTTCACCATTTCTACACTTTGTCCTTAGTAGATTGTCATGTAGCTTTTAAGAGGGTCTCTTTTCACTTAGTAATATGCATTCAAGGTTCCACCACATGCTTTATTCCTTGATAATGCAGTTTTAAATGTGAAAATTACATGCATGTATATGCATTTGGATAAGCATGTACATGCCAAGGTATATATGTATGTGGAAGGCAGAAGACATGACCTTGCAGAAGTATCCTCTCCTTCCCTTATGTGTGTTACAGGGATCAAACCCAAGATGTCAGGCTATCTGCTGGGCCATCTCACTGGTCCAACCCATGTTTATCAATGAAACTATGTAGTTTTCTAGATATGTAGTAACTGATTTACACACTGAGGAATGTCCTTGTTGCTATTAAGGACTGCTGTATGCAATACTGATTGCATAAAGAGGCCCCACTCTTGAGAGTGAGAGAATTGATAATTGACATAAATTTTCTCCTTACATAAATTTCAACTGCCTTTTTAATTGTGTGTTCTACTCCTACCTAGTGGACGACTGATTAAACCCGGAGTCTTCTAGAAGAAACCATGCTCCAGACCAAAATATGTGGGCTTCTAACACTGAACAGGTCATGGCTTGACTTCATCTAAAGGATAAAAGAATGTTCTGCCATTCTGCAAAATAAACACGGAACTTGCACTCAACACCAGGCTGTGGGCTTCTACATTTTATTAAGTTTACAGCTCGTCACTGTTTTCATTTTGTGGTAAACTGGTATCTTAAATAATATGTAAAGATCTTGAAAATATATCTGTGTTTAAATTGTTGCCCTTAGGTGGGTAGTTTACTTAGATATTGGGAGTTATGCTTCAATCATAGGAGAATGATAGGATAACATCTCCTCTAGACTGACGATGATTTGGGTTGATACGGCAAATAAAGTGTAATATAAATAACACTGCCACTTAAAATGAAAATTCAACACTGAAATGCAGTTCTACGTTGATGTATAAAATAAACAGTAACTGTATATGGTGTAGTAAAATGTAGCTTGGTTACATAAGGAATTTCTAACTTGAAAGTGGAATAATGATTGTTTTCTAAAATATTGACAACTGTTCAATCAATGTGAGCAAAGCAACTGGCCAGCTAGCTGTTGTTTCAAAAGTGACACGTGAAGTGGGATACGAGGAATTTTGTTTTTAAAAATATAGAGAACTATGAGAAAGTTGGATAAACAACCAGGAGAGAGGACAAAATATTCAGTTCCTTTCCAGAAATTGAACAATAATAGAAAGCATGGCTTATTTTTTCAAGGTATGAGAAGTAAACTTGATCCATCAGGCTGCACCACAGGCTGCCTAGAAGTTTCCACACTGTGCTGCAAACCAGGAAGGGGAGCCTGAGCAGTTCCAAAACTTCCTATGTTGAGGAAAAGAACAAGAATTCAGGAAGCCTTGTTTAGCTGCTGTAGTAGGGAAGAGCTCCAAAGAGTGACAAAATGGCAGAGAACTCCATCTTCTCCGCTCGCGCTGGCTGCTCCAGGACTGCAGAGCTGTACGTACACAGCATGCAGTTCACAGTCACACCCCTTCTCTGTCTTCTCAAAGAGGCCAGTCTGTAGAGGTCAGACTAGCTGCAAGTTCGACCGGTCCCCCACACTCACCTACCAGTGGCAAGCACAGTCCTTGTTGAGCACATGGGGCATTTAGCTGACAATAGAGGAATGAAGGGATAGCAGTAAGGTACCCCTAACTCTCCAGAATAAGTAACTCTCCAAGACTAGGCGATGGAAGCTTTCCAAGCAGTTTGCCACTCACCAGCTCCCTTCCCATTGGAGAGGCATTGCAGGACCCCCAAAGGGCATCTGGACGTGCACTTAGGACTGAGGAATGCAAAGTCTTTGCTTTTCTGTGTGTACACATTCATGATAAGCTTAACTTACAAATTCAAGAAAGATTAACAACTACAACTAATAACAACATAGAACACAACAGTATGTTGTAAAACAAATGTTATGGTTGTGATCATTCCCTCTTGAAAGAGTTAGGACAAATACAAGTATTTTGCAGACCATAGTTAACCATGAATAACGAATATTTTTGAGTGAGATGGGATCCTATACCCAGACTTACCCATATATAACTGCCCAGCAGAGCAAAAGGTAACCCTAAAGAGGAAGACTACAAATTCCAGATATGCAACCCTCACCACATTCATTAGCTGGTCAGGAAATACTGTCTTGGTCAAGACACAGCACAGTGTTGTGCAAGACGTGGGGAGTTTCACAGACACAAACATGAAATAGATTAGAGAAAATAAATTTAAGCATTTTCTAAATGCATTACCATGCTTAAGAATTCAGTGATAAACATGGAACATAAATACAAGGGGAATAAAAGATTTCTAAAAGAATTAGGCAGAACTATTAGAACCAAAAATTAACTGAATGTTAAAGTTTTTACTAATATTAGGACAGAGGCAAAACCATAGGCCAATGGAATTGAAGATACAACAAATAAAGCTTCAAAAATTATCCAAACTAAAGCAAAGACAAAGACTGAGAAAATGGCTAGTTCTTGAACCAGAGCAGGTGGACAGAGATGAGCAGCGGTGGATCAGTTTACAGACTTTCCTAATTTTGATGAAAACTTATAAATGCAAGGAGCTTAAACACAAACATGCTCAGATGACTTCAAATGTTTAAAATACACTATAAACAGGAAAGAAAGCAAAAGGAGGCGGGGCCTCAGAAAATACTGAGAAATGAAAGATAACATTAGCAGATCCACACGACCACTTGGAAACCACAGCAATCCAAAAGGCACCAGAAAGAGTCTTCGGGAGGCTGAGACTGTAAGAGGGGAAAATGCCCACTTAGGTTCTGTATGAAGCAAAAGTATCTTTCAAATCTAACAGCAAAATGCAGAGGTTTTCCTCTTCAGGAGAATAGGAGCCGAGACCTATTTACCACCAGAAGACACGGAGAAGGAAATTTTTTAGATGAAAGAAGAATGTTGAGTGGACCCCTGTCCCTGTCCCTGGAGAATGAATATGAATATATATAAATATATAAAATCAGGAATCATTTCATGAAAATATTTTATATATATGAATATATGTGTGAATATATACATAAAATCAGGAAATGTTATATGGATGGATTATTGGATAACTAAAAAACCTTTTCATTCTTTTTATTTCTCTAAGGCATTAATGGTTTTAAGTAAAAATAGTATAGCGAAGCCGGGTGGTGGTGGCACACACCTTTAATCCCAGCCTTTGGGAGGCAGAGGCAGACAGATCTCAGTGAGTTCGAGGGCAGCCTGGTCTACAAAGCAAGTTCCAGGACAGCCAGGACTGTTACTCAGAGAAACCCTGTCTCAAAATACAAAACACAAAACAACAACAACAACAACAACAACAACAACAACAAAAAGCAGTATAGTGAGACTTACACCCTTTAGGAATATACTGAGTGGGAAAAGGCAGTCCAGTTATAGAACAGTTCTTATAATTTTTGTGGTATTTCAAGGAATACTTCTATACATTTTTTTATTATCACTGAGATGGGCTAAATGACAATATGTATGTATGTATGTACGTATGTATGCATGTACGTATGTATGTATGTATGTACGTACGTATGTACGTACATATGTATGTACGTATGTATGTATGTATGTACATATGTATGTATGTATGTATTATGTACGTATGTATGTATGCATGTATGTACGTACGTACGTATGTATGTATGTACGTATGTATGTATGTATGTAGTGCAGCTTGCCCTTGCATTTGCAACCCTTTGAGCTTGGTCAAAATACCGAGGAGGTCCAGGCTCCTGCTCAGCAGGTGATGAGGTGCTCAACAGATAATGCTCCTTCCCTGTGTAACATATTCATATTCAGTGGTAAGCCTGAGTTTTGATTTCTCTCAGCCTGAAGTTCATATTGATTATTATTATGTGCCTTCTAAGTCAACAAGCCAGAGAGCTAGTATATACTCGGGACAGCTGCTTATAATCATCTGGCTTATTTAAATTCATGTCTATGGAGTCTAATAATTGCACTACTAAGGAGGATAGGCTTTACATTCAGCACAAAAGCCAAGACTTTGGGTTGTTCTTTCAGCCAGCAATCATCACGACTTGCACAAAGCTGTGAAAAAGGATCTGACTGTGGTGGTGGCTGAGATTCACTTTCTAAGCTACATTGCTCAAGCAGTGCGTTCAAGGATGGGTATAAATGTGGCATGGAGAGGAGGCCTTCACTCCCATCACCTTTTGGTGCCTTACTGACTT